GCCACTCAGCCCGGCGCTGGGAAGCTTGAACGTAGCCGCCCCTGGAAAATCTGGGGGTGGGATCCACGTGCACACACGTCGAGGAACGAACAAGGGATAGACGAGGACCGTCCGACGGAGATAGAGTGACAGAGGGGAAGAGAAGAGAAGAGAAAGATAGAGAGAGAGAGAGAGAGAGAGAGGGCGAGAGGGAGGGAGAAAGAGAAAGAGAGAGAGAGAGCGGAATATAACATGGGACAAGGGGAGAGGGTGGCTTTGCTGGTCAGATAAACGGTAAAGCAAATAAATCCGCTACTTTAACATGCAGGTCACCGCCGCTTTCCGTTTATTTTATTCGTTAAATATTTCATTTGGCCAACTAGAGCCAATTACGAGCGCTGCCTGACGAGCAGAGGGACCTGACGCGTCTCCTCCCTCTCATTCTCGCGCGCTCTCTCTCTCTCTCTCTCTCTCTCTTGCATTCTCCCAGGCACTGGCTCTGCCACTCTCTCCTTCTCTCTCTTCCTTTCTCTCTCTCTCTCTCTCTTTCTCTATATCTCGCCGTAAATCGATGGTAGGAACGTTTTACGCGCTCGCTCTTTGACGATCATTGCTATTCATTCGTCTGGAACCGCTAAGACGTGTTTGTGCGTAGCGCAGGATTCAGGGGGTGGGTTTGCATCGATCGATGTTTTTACGGAGTCGTTTGGTCAGCTGCCGCGAGCACCACGACGATTCGAGTACGCTCTTTTTTTATCAGTTGCAGTTGGCCAGCGTCTGTTGGATCCGTTTACGACTGCTTCACGCTCGACTTAGGTCAGTCCTACGTTCTACGGAGTCCGGTTATGTTATTATTATTTTATTATTATTAAATCCTCTTGCCTCGAAGCTTAACGGGGGAACCTGGTTTACAAACTTAAAATTTTCGATTAGCTTCTTTTTAGAAAATAGACAGATCATGCGAAAGTGGATTGAAAAATTCTACCTATATTTTTTAATATTGTTCTTTATAGAGGGAGGAGAGGAAGAGAAATAGAGAGAGAGGGAGAGAGGAAGAGAAATAGAGAAAGAAAGAGAGAGAGAGAGAGAGTGAGGAAGAGAAATAGAGAGAGGGAAATGGAGAAAGAAAGAGAGAGAGAGAGAGAGAGAGAGAGAGAGAGAGAGAGAGAGGAAGAGAAATAGAGAGAGGGAAATGGAGAATGAAAGAGAGAGAGAGAGAGAAATATATATAGATTTATAGATTCTTTCGCTCAAGTTCTATTATATAACGATCGGTTGTATAAAAGTGTTCATTTGAACACGGCTGTTTCTAATCAGGGACGATACATGCTCTTCCTTATCGTGAACTGCGATTTTTTCATTCTCCAGATTTACGAAATAGTTTGGCACCCGTGTTCCGTGTTCGGTGTTCCTATTTTGCACCGGGCATTTCAATTGGGCGTTCCACATTAGGGACGTCGAATACGGAACACGGGAATGTAAAAATACGAGGACGTTGTTCCGTAATAGGTGCACGCGCGTACATTACTATTTCATTCGTGTGATTTTTAATTCGTATGGAAAAAAAATATTTCGAAGTTTCATTGCGTTATATAGAAACATAAATCTATCGAACAGTGGTATAAATATTCAACAATAACACTTTGTCAGTTGCGACAAAATCGATGATGATCTTAAATCTCCTGGTAAGCGTTCCAAAATAGGTTCAGTAATTTCTCCCGGAAATGCACGGAGATCGGAATTGAAACCGGTGGATCTGAGAATACTAAGTCGCGATTCTTCGAGCCTCGCGGCTCGTTTTTATAGAAACTCGGGGCAGTCGGCAAAAAAAGACAGCGACCTGCATGCCGGAGTACATTAATATGAATACATAGTGATGCTAGAATAAAAACGATGACTTAACTTTTTTATTTCTAATTTTTTGCCACGGTTCGAAGGCAATTCGGAGGCCACGTGACACGATTCGACAGTCGCGTACTTATTACCTACCACGTACTTCGTAGCTCCGTAGTTTTTCTTACCCGACTCACACCCAAACTGGCCATTTTGTGTTTGTTATGTTGCCTTACGACCTTTAGCATCGACGTAGCAATAAATCACATAGACGTAGGACTAGCACAGGGAAATTCACAGCAACCCGAAATTTGGCATTTCCGGGAGAAATTACTGTACCGCAGTCGAAGCAATTTGATTACTGTTATCGATGTTATCGAATAAGTGTTCTTGTTCTAAGTAGTTTTTTAAATTATCAGGCGCGGGAGAAATTCAAATTTGAAAGTTAGAAACTCGTGGAAATTGTTCGCGGAACAATTCTTAATTAGATTTTCCAATTTAACTTAGCATACATGGTGTTCTCAATTTAAGTAAAATATACGAGCATACGAAATATGAATAAATAAATGAAAATTTAGTGAAATAAAAATGAATGTCGATTAGAAATTCTGGTTCCGAATAAATACACGACAAGTATCATAAATAATGAATATATTCGTGAATATCTTAAAAGGAAAATAAAAGTATTTCGACGTTTAAAACTAACGAAAATCATGGTTGGAACACATAATTCTTAATTTATTTCAGCAAATACGATGTTTCCAACCAGAACAAAGTATGCAAGCGTAGATAACATAAATAAACAAACAAATCAAAAATAACAGGAGTGTAAATGTCTGGCATTTTCGATGCTATTGAAAATGGGTAATTTGTATGTTTTACGACCTTGTCCGTTTTTTAGGTAAGACGACCCTTGCGGCCCATCTGCAGGGCACGTGAGCGCTAAACGAGCATCGACTCGAGTCGAGCAAATTTTGACTCGAAAGTCCGTTACACGGATTGTTTATTGATGACCACTAAAGATTTTCCGACCCACAGTTTGCGGGTCCTCCGCGTTTTTAGTCAGTCGTCGGTGAGCAGCTTACGAGTACACTCGTTGTCTCTAAGCTCTTACGAGCAAGCCTGTAGATTAGATCTTGTGTTTCCGTGTGTTCAATAAATATACTTTGACCTAAAACTCTGCCTTCAATTATTTGCAAGCAAANAGAAAGAGAGAGAGAGAGAGAGAGAGAGAGAGAGAGAGAGAGAGAGGAAGAGAAATAGAGAGAGGGAAATGGAGAATGAAAGAGAGAGAGAGAGAGAAATATATATAGATTTATAGATTCTTTCGCTCAAGTTCTATTATATAACGATCGGTTGTATAAAAGTGTTCATTTGAACACGGCTGTTTCTAATCAGGGACGATACATGCTCTTCCTTATCGTGAACTGCGATTTTTTCATTCTCCAGATTTACGAAATAGTTTGGCACCCGTGTTCCGTGTTCGGTGTTCCTATTTTGCACCGGGCATTTCAATTGGGCGTTCCACATTAGGGACGTCGAATACGGAACACGGGAATGTAAAAATACGAGGACGTTGTTCCGTAATAGGTGCACGCGCGTACATTACTATTTCATTCGTGTGATTTTTAATTCGTATGGAAAAAAAATATTTCGAAGTTTCATTGCGTTATATAGAAACATAAATCTATCGAACAGTGGTATAAATATTCAACAATAACACTTTGTCAGTTGCGACAAAATCGATGATGATCTTAAATCTCCTGGTAAGCGTTCCAAAATAGGTTCAGTAATTTCTCCCGGAAATGCACGGAGATCGGAATTGAAACCGGTGGATCTGAGAATACTAAGTCGCGATTCTTCGAGCCTCGCGGCTCGTTTTTATAGAAACTCGGGGCAGTCGGCAAAAAAAGACAGCGACCTGCATGCCGGAGTACATTAATATGAATACATAGTGATGCTAGAATAAAAACGATGACTTAACTTTTTTATTTCTAATTTTTTGCCACGGTTCGAAGGCAATTCGGAGGCCACGTGACACGATTCGACAGTCGCGTACTTATTACCTACCACGTACTTCGTAGCTCCGTAGTTTTTCTTACCCGACTCACACCCAAACTGGCCATTTTGTGTTTGTTATGTTGCCTTACGACCTTTAGCATCGACGTAGCAATAAATCACATAGACGTAGGACTAGCACAGGGAAATTCACAGCAACCCGAAATTTGGCATTTCCGGGAGAAATTACTGTACCGCAGTCGAAGCAATTTGATTACTGTTATCGATGTTATCGAATAAGTGTTCTTGTTCTAAGTAGTTTTTTAAATTATCAGGCGCGGGAGAAATTCAAATTTGAAAGTTAGAAACTCGTGGAAATTGTTCGCGGAACAATTCTTAATTAGATTTTCCAATTTAACTTAGCATACATGGTGTTCTCAATTTAAGTAAAATATACGAGCATACGAAATATGAATAAATAAATGAAAATTTAGTGAAATAAAAATGAATGTCGATTAGAAATTCTGGTTCCGAATAAATACACGACAAGTATCATAAATAATGAATATATTCGTGAATATCTTAAAAGGAAAATAAAAGTATTTCGACGTTTAAAACTAACGAAAATCATGGTTGGAACACATAATTCTTAATTTATTTCAGCAAATACGATGTTTCCAACCAGAACAAAGTATGCAAGCGTAGATAACATAAATAAACAAACAAATCAAAAATAACAGGAGTGTAAATGTCTGGCATTTTCGATGCTATTGAAAATGGGTAATTTGTATGTTTTACGACCTTGTCCGTTTTTTAGGTAAGACGACCCTTGCGGCCCATCTGCAGGGCACGTGAGCGCTAAACGAGCATCGACTCGAGTCGAGCAAATTTTGACTCGAAAGTCCGTTACACGGATTGTTTATTGATGACCACTAAAGATTTTCCGACCCACAGTTTGCGGGTCCTCCGCGTTTTTAGTCAGTCGTCGGTGAGCAGCTTACGAGTACACTCGTTGTCTCTAAGCTCTTACGAGCAAGCCTGTAGATTAGATCTTGTGTTTCCGTGTGTTCAATAAATATACTTTGACCTAAAACTCTGCCTTCAATTATTTGCAAGCAAATAATCAACAAGGAGTATGTCGGCCATAAATACGGTGGATAACCAAAAAACAACGTGTTCCACTGTTGCAGGTGTGGTTCCAGAACCGGCGCGCCAAGTTCCGGAAGCAGGAGAGGCTAGCGCAGCAGAAGTCGTCGTCTCAGAGCGGAATGGGTGTAGACAGCGGCGCCTCGAGCCCGGTGGCCAGCAACGTGAAGGCGGAGGGTCGTTCACCGAGAAGTCCGGCGACGCCTCCGGGTGGATCGAACAGCGTCCTGTCGTCGAACGAGGTGAAACCGATCGCGAACCCGAACCTGGTGAGCGTGAAGCACACGACGGACGTGTCAGGGGATGGCAGCTCGCCTAACACCCGGGGAAGCGGCAGCGGGGGCGGTGCTTGGGGCTCCTGTAGCCCCAGGCCCTTCTCCGCGGCGCTACCACCATACCTGCTGGACCCGTTGCCCCTGAAGACCGCGAATCTATACTAATCGTCCCAAAGGAACTACTCCATCCTGGCCGAGTCGTGTAAATATAGAGAGAGTATACCGCGCGCTTCGAACCGGAAACGGCGGGCTGTTCAGAGGACTATTGTTGTTGGCTCCCCGCGAGGTCGATTCTCCGCGTTTCCACGGATCGTGGACGTGCTTCCGGAAACGTTCGTGCTTCCAATCTTTTTCGGAAACTTTTCGACCGGACCCGGCGCAGGACAATGTTCATGAGAAAGAGACCCTTGGTGGTTCAATGGTTAAGGTTATTTCCAATTGTGTCTCCCCACGTTACGGATATATAGTGCGCAAGAAGTTTACAATTTATAGTAATACTCGATGTTCTTATTTTTAATAGTTTCATCGATTCGGAATTACACGCGTCATCGCGTTTCTTTTTTAAAATAACGTTCACTGTAAATTCTCTCCAATTTTGCTTCAGCTTGTGGACAAGAATGGAACATTTGGGAAGAGCGGTTCATTTTTATAGTTGCCGATTGCGAATAATTATAAAAACGAGGTGCACGGGTCGAATAGTCGTGTCTCCTCTTCCCAAATTGTCCATTGTTGTTTAACAAGCTGAGGAAAAATTAAGGAGAATTTACTGTATTATGTATGATTGTACGCTCTATCGGTAAGGCAGAGAGGGACGATAAAATTATAGAGCGTTTCCCTATAATCTCGAATCGCCGGAAATTCTTCTCGCAGTCATCGTTTCCACGCAGTCATCTTTATTGTTTAGCTACTGCCAATTAGCTTAATAATCTTGAATTAATGATGCGTCAGTATCATTATTGCCATTGTGTATCAGGATCTGGAGTTGATTTCTGAAGTTGTATAATAGATTCCACAATATTAAGATTTAGAAATGCTAGTGTTCTTTTTTTACAGGTTAGGTTACCTATTTTACACCATGTAACAAAGTTACATGGTGTATCGTAAGCGTTACAGTTGGTACGCCAAATTTGTGTAACGGCGGGAAAATGTCACCATTCAGAACGATTCAGTAATTGCAAAAATACTGCCACGCATTTGACAATTAATTCCTAGATTTTACTACTGTCTTTCGGAGATTATGTTATCTATTTCATAAAGTTATATTCTTGTTATTTCGAACTTATACATTGACGGGAAAATTTAAAATCTCGATTTAAAATGACTTAGTAACCTATTTAATAATTCTGTCCAAATTGTCCATTCTTGTGCGCAATCCGAGCGTCCATTCGGGAGAATTCGCCGCATTTTCCAACATTTCGACACCGAAAGTTGTCGCACAAATTTTCCCGAAGCTAACGGTCCACGATCCAGAGAACGATCTCGGCGCGACTGTAGCGCCGGTTTCCGCTTGGAGGAGCCGCCGATGCTCACGTACCGTCCTACATTACCCATCGATCATTGCCAGACGAATCTAGCTGATAAGCCCGCGTCGACCGAGTCGAAGGGCTCGAACGGATCCGGTTCCCGTCTCGCGATGGGACGAGCGACGTGTATTCGATGTAAAGTAGCGTAAACACTGCACCAACGAAATAGAGATGTATAATATTCGGTGTTCGAAGTTACGAGGACGTCCCCCGATCGACGAGACGTCCCTAATTGTCGGCGACGGCCGGACACGGGGCCCCCATGGGTTCACGGGGCTCTGAACAGCCCCGTTTCCGCCGGCATTTTTCGTTTAGCTCGGGGAACCAGCGCGATCGTGTCGACCGATGTGGCGCGGTCGGCGCTTGTACAGTTGTTGCTATAAATATAGGTGAATTAGTGTTTTACACCGTAACACGTAACCAGTATCGATCACGAGGGTTCGGAGATCGCGGAAACCGGACTGTAGCCCCGTCTGTATCATCGACGTTTCTATATATAGTGCGTGGAACAAATGTGAGAACTTTGCCGCGAGACGTTTCCGACAGACTCGGCGAGCGATCAAGAGGAATCAGCGCGAAGCGACGACGCGCCATCTGGACAATCTTCCGGCTCGGTCGGCAAGTCGGCGATTGCTTCGGCAGAGCGTCTGACGCCGCGAGGGGGAGCGCTGACTACGCCTATGGACGCGGCGGACCGCCACCGAGCCGCACGGTAACGTCCTCTTTGTGCACACGAGTGCCACGGATTCGCACGGTGGAACGATGTAACGACCGTTTTTTTTCGATCGCGTAAGACGGCGCTGGTGTTCGCAAGGCTGTAACTAGGAGCTCGGTGCCCCCGCGCCATTTGTTCCACCAAGTATACATTCGCAGATCTATGCGTTAGCGTGTAAGGTTTACTAAGGTCCATTCGTAAGTAGAGTATGTTAGTCCGTGTCCCGTTATGGAGGACTAGCGATGGGTGTTCGATCCCGCGATGGACTAGCTCCGCTCCGGTTTCAGCGGACAAGAACCCGTTTCGAACACGTTCAGACCCCTGCAAACTTTCTCGTCTCGAGTCCGGTTCACCGTTCAAAGGGATTCTAATGTTTTCGAGTGTGTTTGAGATGCTTGTCTGCCGAGCGTTCTAAGTGAAAGAGTTCGGAGATTATGTGCGAGCTGGTTCGTCGACGTTTGGACAAAGTTGCGCCTCCAGACTGGTCGAACGAAATCGCCCATCCGCCGAGTTTCTCGTCGACCTGTGGGGGTTCTAACGCGTCCAAATGCCGAGTGTCAATCGAATACGCCCAAGCTGGCCGATGTTTGTTAAAGTTTGAAGACCCATCGTTAGCGTTGACGCGTGATAGACGGCGATACCGGACGTGTGGGGTGTAACGGCGAGAAACGAATGGCGGCGAGTGTCGAAGGAAAACTGATCGGCGATAGACGAATCCTTCGGCCGAAATCGTTGGTTAAATCTTTAAGTAATCGCGCGTGTCAAAATCCGGGGGTCGAATCAACAGCCTGCTCGGGTCTTAGAAATCGAAATAATATTTATTTTACAGAACAGATCGTCTATGATTAATCGGTGTCTCGTTGTGCGTTCAATGTCACGGCGGCTACTTAAAGATTAAACGGGTCGAACATCGTACCATTCCAGACGCTGCGACTCCGCGCGGTTCGACCATCCGCTTCCGGTTCAAGGGTTCTTCGGGCGTCGAACGAATCGAACTCTGTCGTCGTCTCCTATCACCAACTTTCTCTCTCTCTCTCTCTCTCACTGTCTCACTCATTCTCTTTCTCCCTCCCTTTCTCTCTCCCTCCCTCTCTCTCTCTCCCTCTCTCTCTCTCTCTCTCTCCGCTTTCTCGATATTTGAACTATTTTTATAGTAAATGCTTCGGGTCGTAGCTACAATTCCGAGGCTTCGTTCGACACGATGACTTTTCCTTCGACGCGTCTTCGATCTGACAATGGAATGTCGAGTGCCGTCGAGAGAGAAGAGAAAGCTAAAATAAACGAAAAGAAAAAAAAACGGAAAAAGTAAAACGACGTTCGCCGCATCCCTTCTCGCGAGAGAAGAACAAAAAAAATACCAAGTCTCTCCCCCATTTTATTTCGAAATATACATTTATTGAAAATAATCGTTCTTGTGTGTATCTCTGTGGTTTCTTTCTTTTTTTTTTACTTATATATATATATCTGTCGTCAACATCTCTTTCTCTCACTCGTCTCAACAGTCGTCCTTTGGATTACATCGTTGCTCCTGATTGCGGTCCAGGTATACACGGATTTACCCTTTGTACTATGTCGCTCGCATGCTCGTCGTTAGGGATGGGAGCTGCGGTCGTCGTTCGTCGTTTCGTTTGTCGGGGAACCCTCTTTGACCGTTCACGAACATGCCCGAGCCGAAAATATCGAAACATCCAACCAATTTCGCCTTGTTCGTTCGCGGTTTATCGATTCAAATTCATCTAGATCAGCAAGCATTTCGGCCGGTTTCAATCGAAGCCACCGGTCGAAGAACACGGCGCATTCGCGACGAAACGACAGTGTTTCGCGATGATCGGATTACCGTAGAAATTTCGACGGATCTTCGACCGACGAGAATACGCTACGAATTTACGCGGACGCGCATTGTCCTTCGTGACCCACGAATTTGCAACCCCGTAAATGCAAGAATTACTGACAAGGTTCCTGTTTCTTGGTCGGACAATTCGAATTTCCCGGGCTCGGTGCCTGAGGTCGTTTCAAATTTCGCGCGCGTTCCGTGGTCCCCTTCCCGCGCGAGACGGCGGCGGCGGCCATCTTGTGTCCGTGCGACGCGCCGAGCTGCCGCGAACCTCGCCCGGAGAGGGAACCGAACCCCGGTCGAAATCTCGCCATACAAAAGTAATAAAAGTTAGCGTGTTCGTCGGTACATAAATTGTATTCGATAATATATAATCGATAATGATCGGTGCGTTGGTCGTTCGTGCGCTACGTCGTCGAAGGGATCGACCTTGCAACCCCGTTATCCGATCGCGATCCGATCAACGGAGCCCGACGGGCTCGTTGCGATCGGATCGGCGCGTATGGTCGTCGGAAGTAATGTTGAGATGGACGTATCATTTTGATTGTCATGGAGCAGCGTAGTTTCTTTCGTCATTTGTCGGAGTTAGTCGAGTAGTCAGGCGCCTATACATATACATACTTACGACAGGAGATGGAGGAACCAACACGGCCGCCGTCGTCGGGAACCGGGATTAGTCCCCACGCCGACGGACGCGTTACGTTCCTCCATTCGCTTGCACATTACTTGAATAGATTTATATTTATATTATATTTATATATATATTTATATATATATAGAGATATGAGACTGTTTCGAGAATCTCGTCGTGTCGTCGAGATTAGGCCATCGTCAGGGTGCCCGCGCCCATGCCGAAGCCCACCCCCTTGGGACCGAAATTCCTATTGTAACAACCGCGACAGTAGATGTCGCCGTCCGGACCGTCGTTTAGATTCGTCGAGTCTAACGAACGATGGCATTCGCCGCAGCTGAAGCAACGTTTGTGCCACAAGCGGTTCTTCGAGATCATCTGTTCCGCGGCGTATACCGGGTAGCCGCAGCGTGCACACCCGTGACCGTCGTCTCGCTTCTGGCCGACCTGTGGCTTGGCGTCGATGCTGAAAGAAGAGTCAACATTGGTCGCAGTCGGTGGAATGATAGGCTCACGGAGGCAGATACATTAGCTATACAAGTTTGACCGATCGACTAGGTTAGGTAGCCAAGTTAGGGATTCGATTTAGATTCATCAAATAGGTTAGATAGTGAAATAAGATTAATCGTTTAGGTCAGCTAGCCCAGTTGGACTGATCGTCTTAGAGCAACTAGCGCAGTTACACCGATCCTCTAAATTAGCTAGCTCAGTTAGACTGATCTTCTAGGTTAGCTAGTCTAATTTAAACTGATCGTCTACGTTAGCTGTCCAAGTTAGACTCAGCAACTAGGTAAGCTAGACTAATTAAACTCATCATCTAGATCAGCTAGCTTAGTTAGACTGATTGTTTAGATCAGGTAGCTCAGTTGAACTGGTCGTTTAGGTCAGCTAGCCTAGTCAGACTGATCGTCTTAACTACCCTAGTTACACTGATCCTCTAAATTAGCTAGCTCGGATAGACTGATGTCTAGATTAACATCTAATTAAATTAGATGAACTAGCCTACTAAACTGATCATCTGGGTCAGCTAGCCCAGTTAGACTGATTATCTAAGTCAGCTAGCCCAGGTAGACTGATCGATTAGGTCAGCTAGCCCAATTAGGCTGACTGTTTAGGTCAGCTGACCCAGTTATAGCGATCATCTAGGTCAGCTAGACCAGTTGGATTGATCGTTTAGGTCAGTTAGCCCAACTGAACTCATTAACTGGGTCAGCTAGCCTAATTGAACTAATCATCTGGGTCAGCTAGCCCACTCAGACCGATCGACTAGGTTAGCTAAGTTGGATAGGACCGAATCTTCTCTGGCACAACAGAATGGGTACTAATATAGCGTAGCAAAATTGTCTAAGGAGGAGCAAAGTTGTCAAAGTTGTCCAACGAAACGAAGGAAGGTCAAATAACGTCGATCGGAACTTACTACGAGGGAGCCTGATCTCCGTTCGTGGAAACGAGAGTCGGGGTGTGGCCGAATCCAAATCCTTTGGGCCCGAAGAGTTTGCTATAGCAGGATCGGCAGTGAATTTCCTTGTCGGGTCCGTCGCAGGCCAGCATTGAGTCCAATGGCCGGTGACATTCGGCACAGTTGAAGCATTTCTTGTGCCACATGGTGCCTTTGGCGAGCTGTTGCTCGGCGGCGAAGACCATGCCGCCGCAACGAGGGCAACCCTGACCGGCGGGCGCCTTGATAGAGGTCGTGTCTGGATTGTAGAATGGTCTGCTGGCCGATATTTCTTCCTCTCTGAAAGGAATAGCGCTTGGTCACGATACTAGTACTTTTGCTAGGATACTGATACGCGTGGGACCTGCTAGTATGCAGGAAAAGTCGCTACGCAAAGAGTGGGGTGGTGACGCATGCGCAGGGAGTCCCGCACGGCGAACATTGTAATTCTGTAATTCGATGACGACGCGATCTGATCGTGGTTCAGGATTATAACGTTCACCCGGTAGACGCATAGCGCCGCTGCGCGGGACTCCCGCGCGTGCGTCGTCTGCCCCCACTCCTGGCGTAGCGACTTTTCCTGAACACACTGTTCATAGCCCGAACTGGATTATTAGCTTGGTATTATAGGGTAACTATGGGTGGCTATGGGTATTATCTAACTGAGGCGACTGGTGTTTTGACTACCGCGGGAGCTGTTACTCACGTTAGGCCATCGGTTTGTAAGAATCCAGATCCGCATGCGAATCCGTATCCGTGCGGTCCCCACTTCTTTCCGTAGCAGGTCTTACAGTAGACATCTTTATCTGGCCCGTCGCAGGCGATGATGGAGTCCAGAGTTTTGGTGCAGTCGTGACACTTATAGCACTTCCTGTGCCATTCGCGGCCCTTTGCCAGCACCTGCTCGGCGGCGAACACTACGCCGCCGCAACGTGGACAGCCCTTGCCAGGTGGCGCTTTGATCGCGGCGGTGTCGATCACAGCGGTGCGAGGTGCAGCATCGCTGCGTGCACAAATTTCATCGATATCACCATCCGACATCGTCGTCCACGCTATAAACGCGCCGTTGGCCAAACGTCTTCCGTCGATCGTACACAAATCTGTCAGGAGCTTTCAATGTCTACGCCATTGAGAGCGATACCTTCCGCGCGGAGTGAACTCGAAATGCTCAAAACCGGTGGTCTAGCGAATCTACATGAAAAATTAAATCGCGAAAATTTGTTATTTCTATTTTCAAAGCTTGGTAAGAGAGCACAGCTGGCGAAGCGAGCATTGCTCGACCAGCGTTCGACTTGAATTCGTTGCAGTCAAAAGTTTGCACGTTTGGCCAGCGTCACGTCCAACATCAAGTCGCGCAAATGAGGGTTTCTTCAGCCTTCGATTTTTCCTTCATCTCATGAGCACGACTTGCGAACAAAGGTACTTGTACATTCAAAAAGAAAGCATGCAAATGCGAAAACGACCGATACTGATTGGCAATTAGCATGCGGGGTTGTGATGGTGGGGTGCTTAATGAGAACCGCGGAACGTCGGGCTCTACGGTGAAGGAAGCGGCAACGGAAGTTGATTGTTCCGTTTATAAATAATGCATCCCGACTCGGGGATTTGTTCGATCGTTCCCGATGGTGAATAATTTCAGCATAATCGACTTTGAGGGAGAGGCCAGATGCCAGATGGGAAGACGGTTATTCACTGTTTATTCGCAAAACACACTGGCCGCTCGACGACGCTTCGACTCTGTCCAGCGTCGATAACTACGGTTGACGGTCTTGCCGACCGAGCGGCGCGAAAATTGAAAATGGTAAAGGTGAGTAATAGCGCAAAGCGTTAAGGCGTCAACTCATGTGTATTGTGGGCATGTACACGCACAGGCATACCGGTGCTCGACGACACGTGCATACGTTCGTTCACATTTTCTCATTCCATCAGTTTGAATAAAAAAAACTTAGGTCGATAAAGCGATTCGCAGATTTAATCGTCCGTTACACAGAACTGTCTGGTTCGATTTGATTTTATGAATCTTTTTGTAATCAGGTGGTTGATGTAACCTCGGATTAATTTTGTTTCGTAGCAACAAGGAATTTGTGTAAAAAAAGGAAAGTTTAAGTTCGATTACCCGAGATACTTTAATCATTAAAATGATAGCGGACGTCCGCTATCATTATTCTACACGGTGTCAACAAATTGAATGATTCGAAAGTTTCGACTCGAGTTATTTAAGGCTGTCGCAACCCTTAAGGAGGCAGACTTGTGCGAAGCGTTCAAACGAGGGGTGATATTTGGCAATTTTTTTACAACACAAGACCTCGTCGAAATTTATCGCCATTTGGCACGTATGATCTTTAACAATTCAAGATACAAATGTTTTATTTCCGTTTAATTTTATCGATTTTTAACGAGATAGTACATGTTACTCCTTATGGACCTCCCCGTCGACGTCGTTAATTCCAGCAATTTTTTCCTTCGATTTAGAACGAAGAATCAAACGTATTAAAAGTCGATAAAATATAACGAAAACAAACATTTCGTATCTTGAAATGTTAAAGAATATATGTGCCAAGTGGCGATAAATTTCATCGAGGATTTATATTATAAAAAAATTGCCAAATATCATCTCTCGTTTGAACTGTTCACACGAGTCTGCACCCTTCAACAAACAAACGGAGCCACCATATAAATTATATAAATAAAAAAAATATAATATAAATAAAAATTATATAATATAAAATAACCAGAAGCCCGAATTATATTTCGATTTCCGAGACTTGCGTACACGCAGACACACAGGCAGTCGGACAGACAGACAGATGGACTGGCGAAAGTGGAATAGCATAACTATAGGGGGGCGCGTACCCCTCGTCCTCAATATCGCACTGCAGCCCGATCCACATAACCCCAGCGTGGCCAATACCTCNAAAGTCACTGTAAATTCATATGGTTTCATACGAATTATCGCTTCAAAATTATTTATCGCTTTGACAAGCGATTAAAGTTTCGGACTTCCAACTTATTAAACAATTAATTATAATCGCAATTATATTGTGTTTGGTGTTATTTTAATCTGCACAATGAGGCAAATACGATGGTAAAAATTTCATTGATGAAAAACCAATAATAAGAAATATTGACTTTTAAATTTAAAAGTCTGAGCTCGTGCGAGTCCCTTAAGGGTGGAGACTCATGTGAAGCGTTCAAAACGGTGGTGATATTTGGCAATATTGTATAACATAAAACCTTGATGTGAAATTTATCGCCACTTCGCACATATATTCTTTAACATATCAAGATACGAAATGTTTTCTTTTTTGTTACATTTTATCGACTTTTAATGAACTAGTACATCAATCTAACATTTTTTTCCTTTAATTTAGAACGCAAAATCGAACGACAATTTCTTCGCAATAGTATTATGCGTCGTATAAACTAATATTCTTCATAATTATTTAAACTATTATTTAAACTATATCTATTGCATAATTAAGTTTGACATTCATGGTAAATATTATCTTTTTGTGTTCAAAACCGCGTATCTCCGACAATGTTGCATTTTTTAAGGAGCAGTTTAGTTTATACGACGCATGACACTATTACGAAGAAAATGTCGTTTGATTCTTCGTTTTAAATCAAAGAAAGAAAATGTTAGAAGGCACACCGTCCATAAGAAATAACATGTACTATTTCATTAAAAATAGATAAATTATAACGAGAGAAAAACATTGTGTATCTTGAAATGTTAAAGAATATATGTGCCAAGTGGCGATAAATTTCATCGAGGATTTATATTATAAAAAAATTGCCAAATATCATCTCTCGTTTGAACTGTTCACACGAGTCTGCACCCTTCAACAAACAAACGGAGCCACCATATAAATTATATAAATAAAAAAAATATAATATAAATAAAAATTATATAATATAAAATAACCAGAAGCCCGAATTATATTTCGATTTCCGAGACTTGCGTACACGCAGACACACAGGCAGTCGGACAGACAGACAGATGGACTGGCGAAAGTGGAATAGCATAACTATAGGGGGGCGCGTACCCCTCGTCCTCAATATCGCACTGCAGCCCGATCCACATAACCCCAGCGTGGCCAATACCTCGCGGACCGAATTTCTTCGGATAGCAAGCTGTTAAGCAGACAAGCGCATCATATATAGTGAGAGTGTAGAAGCCGAGGCGGGATTTCTCTCGTGTGTTCCCGTCTCAGTCTCGGCTCTGAAAACCCACCCATTGGCGTAGCAGTCGCTTTGTAGGGCGCCACCACCCTGACCGTAGCCATAACCCTTCGGTCCGAATCTCTTTCCGTAGCATACTGCAGAGAACATCGGTTAAAGGTATCTGGTTGGTTTTAGATGTCGCTGCGCCGTCAGGACACCGCGTGCTCTGGCGTGTTCCGGGCCCGAACAAGTCCTACGTATTGTTTTCAGACTTGAGGTGGATTCGAGAACTCTGGACACTACGGGCACCTGTATTAAGCCCTGTTGCCGTAGGTGATTGTTATAAGGAGGCGCAGGGTATAGGTTAGGTGGATCTAAGTAAATCTTATATTTTGGGCGTAGTCTGCTGGGTATAAACAAATTTTATATTTTTGGTGTAGCCTTCTGGGTCTAAACAAATTTTATATTTTGGATGCAGCCACCTGGGTCTACACAAATTTTATATTTTGGATGTAGTCTTCTAGTCAAGCGAAATTTTATATTTTGGGTGTAGTAGCCTCCTGGGTTTATACAAAACTTATGGTTTTAGGTGACTGAAGTTAAGCTGGTATTAGGATTCTAAGTACTTTAGAAACCTGATCTAGTTACTTTTCTTGGACCTAGTTATTGTTTGAAGAGGCTGACTCTACGGTAAGACCTAAAGGATCTGTTATTTGAAGAAATTCATTAGAGGTGCTAAGTCCAGGTTATTATCCAAGTGAAATCATCAAAGACACTGGACTTGGTTACATTTAAGATACAAGTGGACATGTTTGCAGGGACTTATGGTTCAAACATTCGAATGGATTTTAAATAGATTGATTACTAGTCCTAAGTTGAGTCCAGAAGTGATCAAGGATTATTATTTTGAAGCTAATCATTGGAATGGATAACTGGATGCTAGGTTAGGGCTGAGTTACATGATTGAAGTAACATGAGCGAGGGCATTAGAAACTAGTCTCTGTTAAGCTATAGATTTTTCTTTACATGTTCAGCTATAATTATAATCAGTTAATGACGAAGTGTAGAATATTAGGTTATGGGTTTCCTATATGTTATATTCTGATCACAGTCAATTTATGATAAATTGTGGAGCGTTATACGGATTTTCATATTTACAGTGATTTGACAGTCATTTGAAAAATTCTAACCCCTTTAAATCGAAGACAATGGCCCCAAACGATTGAATCGAGCTCACTGAACCTACTTGGCCTGGGTCCCCACAGTGAACCAACGCTGGCACAGCGACGCCGTGCCCATAATTTTCCTGAACGAGGTCCAGAGTTCAAGAATCGTGAACGGGCTCGAGTAGCCGTCAAACTGATCCCGCGAATCTGTTTCTATCGAGAGCGATTGAACAGGAGCCAGAGGCAACGGTAACAGTCTCGATCGATTAATTCGAACACGCCAGGGCACGTAACGGCACCCGGTAATCTGGCATAATTGGTGGCGTTCCCTCACCTTTGCAGTAGATGTCCTTGTCAGGACCTTCGCAGCAGTTGACGGAATCTAATCTCTTGGAGCAGTTGGCACACTTAAAGCATTCCTTGTGCCATTGCTGCGTGGGAGACAAAGGGACGTGTGTTAGTCACGAAAAGTAGGTTCGACGAATCTTACGTTTCTATTACACACGGTTATTCCCGATCGACGTTCCTTTAATCGATTTGAGTCGTTACCCCTACCCCCTCCCCTCCCAAACCATCCACACAAATTTGAGAATTATCCGCAGGCACGCTGATTCTCTTCGATCAAACAATTAATCGAATCAATTAAAATTAAATCAATAAAATTTAATCAATTGAAATTAAATTAATGCAATTTAATGAATTGAAATTAAATTAATGAAAGTAATTAATTAAAATCGACAAACAAAAAAATAGACGAAACAAAGTGTGTAACCTATGGACTTAGAAGGGACAAAGACTCCTCGGGGTTCCCGTGTAACAATCTACAGAACACTTTGCGCCAGTCTGTGTACAAAAAAGAAAGAAACTAAACCATGGACAACGGGTGCACAGAGTTGCAAGAGAGCGAACATTAATTTTCGGGTTTTCGTTATTCGGAATTTGAAGAAACGAAAGTAAAACAAACGTAAAAGAAAGGTTGACGATCAGAGTTGCGAGTTGTGGGTGGGTGGAAGGGGGACGTGGGGGTAAGTCAGAATACACATGGACGACTTATTACATTCCGTTGGATTTCGATAAGATACCTCGACAATATATCTCGCGATCAGGACCATCGCAATGAAGCGTCGAGTCCAGAGACCGTTGACAGACATTGCACTTGTAGCATTGCTTATGGTAAGCCTAATCACAAGAAGCAGGAATAACCATGATGCGCCCGGAGACAGGCGAGTATTCACGGGCTACCGAATCGACGGGCGGGTTCTTGGTGCCGCGGACATCTTTCCCGTTAACGTTCGCATTTACATAATCTGATAAACTAAATAAATTGATAACATGATATTATGAACGTTCGACACGTTCGTCGCCTGGCCTGAATCCGTCGAGTTTCTCGCGGGGTCCGAACCCGATAAGCGAAGAGCGTAGTATAATCAATTTTATATTCTATTTTCGATAGATTATATTATATAAATAATACATATAAAAAATACTTATGTGTATTATATATATATTATCATATATAAATATATATTATATTTATTATTATATATTAATATATAATATTATTATTATCTATTAATATTAATATATAATATTATTATTATCTATTAATATTAATATATAATATTATTATTATCTATTAATATTAATGTATAATATTATCTTATTATCTATTAATATATAATATATAATATTATTATTATCTATTAATATTAATATATAATATTATTATTATCTATTAATATTAATGTATAATATTATCTTATTATCTATTAATATATAATAATATAAATAAAAATTTAATTATAAAGTAACGTATAGTATAATATAGCGTGTATATTTTTAATATCTTTGTTTTGTATATTTTACATTCGGTGGTGCTTGATATTGGATTTTTATAAATTACTTGCTCATTAAATAAACCATCCGATTCAAAGCATAACTAAATAACTAAATAAATAAAAAGAAATAAATTACTTGTAAAATCCTATTTAATTCGACGAAGAGGAACGTCACCCATATTTGGGTGACAGAGCACCGCGTGGCGACGAACGTGTTAAAATACAAAAAAAAGTATAAAAATAGAACATTTCATTCCTTATCAAAAATAGAAATTTGTGTATCGATCGGAACGCGTCTGTCGAGTTACGTCGATAAATTTCAACGGGCAGCCAGCGATTTTAGCCGAGGATTGTTCGACGATTTGCCAATTAACGGGAGTTCGTTGGACGATCGTCGGAGGATCGCGTCGGAATTTGTGCGGCTCGCGAAGCGGGCCGTGTTGCCTGTTGTTCGGTCGGACAATGTATCCAAACGGTAACTAACGGCGACCGTTAAATAATTCAGAGGGTCGCGCGTTCCCGAAAGCTAACGAGACGCAAGACAGATTTCGGGCAACGTGACCGGGTCCGTCGCGCGCTTTTCACCGCCGAAAATAAACGGTCTCGTTGTGTCGCACTCGAGAGGGAAGTTGGCAATCGGCGGACGTAATTCGTCGATTCACAGACGCGGAGGCGAATCCGTCGATCGGGGTCAGTTAACCCTCTGTCGGACATCAGTGGCCGCCCGGGTCTCTGAGAACTACGCCCAGTATCGCTTGGAGATGACACGAACGCGTGGATTTTGTGGAACGGACACGTTCGGTTGCTCTTCCCCGCCGACGGCCGGGTCTGTTTTGATCCGCGCTGTCGTAAACTTCGGCCGATTTCCGCGAAACGTGATCCAATCGTAGCCGATCGAACATTGCGTCGATTTCGAACATTCGCAGACGAAAAGATTTTAGCAACAAAATTTGGCTATAGCAATTATCAAATATGAATTTTGGGCTGAAGAAAATCGTGGACGATCGTGACTTATCAACGAACCGTAAAATAAAACGTAACAATTCGCTTCGTTGAAGTACGAAGAAAACAAGAGCGGGTCCAAATTGACCCGGTCACCGCACGGGATTCCCTAGATTCCCGTTAAACCCGCCGAAACGATCGAACGTCGGCGAAACAAAGATTCCGACGATAATCGCGGATCCGAATTGAACGTCGAGCCTGTCAGAATTCCCAGGATTCGAGTCGAGTATGAGAAAAATTCCGTCGAAAGCGAGACGAAAAAAGTCCCTACGATTCCGGTAACTTGAAACGAAATTTATAGCAATCCCATGATCGCTGGAGCTGGATCGCAAGAGAAATTTCCGAGCCGCGTCGAGGATGGAGATTTAATCTCGGGTCCAAGTTGACCCAGTCACCGCAGAGGATTCTTCATATCTACGTAAAATCGACAGGAAGAAATCGAACGCGAGCGAGAGTAAAAATCGAGTAAAAATCTGATTTGGAAAACGATGAAAAACGACAGAATCTCGAAGAACGAGGAGAATGCTGCGATTTCGCGGAACAATTAGAAGATTGCGCGACCGCTCGGGGCACGGAGAATTCCGCGGGACAAAACGGGAGGATTGGCAGTAGCCTAGAAAAGGCAATTAGCCTGCATCGGTTTAATCCGACCGTCGGCCGGCCGGCGGTTCCAAGTTATTTTCCAACGCGACGAGTGGACCAGTTGGTGGCCTGCCAACCTGACGGTGGAAGACAGGAAAAGCTCTTGGGCCGGCACCAACGGCAACAAGCGTCGCGAACGCGGATCGCTCCGGATCCCAAAAGACGACTCATCCGTCGCGCCGCGGATCCCGCTCTCTCTCTCTCTCTCTCTCTCTCTCACTCTCTGTCTCTGTCGTTCTCCTCCGGATTTTTTCCCTCATTGTTATGAAATTACAGGGGTTTCGTCATACGGTAAGATTACGGAGCCGCGCGTCACGGAGCTGGCAGCGTGTCAGCTGGTGGTCCGCAGTCAATTTTAGACAGCGGAGAACGCGAGGCCACCGTCTTCGCGATCCGATATCTCCGCGGAGATCGACCGTCCAACGAATCCCGTTTTCTTTCACCCTTCCGGCCCGCGAACACATTCGCGCAGCTAGCAACCGCGCGAGATCATAATTTCGAACGCCAGCCCGCTTGGCACAAAGATTTATTACCGAAATGATTTTATTCGCTTTGAAGAATGTTTAATTCGCTTCGTAATGTTGCATGAAATCGTTTTATTCGGTGAATTTGAAAACAGCGATTTTGAACATACTGCTTCCCCTAGAAATATTGCGACAAAAAACTAGATCGTTAATATGATTTTGTTTATTGCATTTGAAGTGACGCTGTATCGTTTATTTATCTCATCAACGAGACTAATTAAACATATATCTGTTCGAGAATATTATACTGTAATACTGTAATCATAATTCTACTAATAATATTTAAACGCACCGATTTGAATAAACATAATTTTCTAAAGGACTCCGAACATTTTCGAAGTGAACGTTACATTTAAATTGTATTTTTAATCTCCTAAATATTTTTAATCCTTTAAATCATTTTAATCTCATAAATCATTTCAATCTTTTAAATCATTTCAATCTTCTAAATCATTTCAATCTTTAAAATCTTTTAAATCATTGTAATCACTAAAATCGTTTTAATCTTTTAAAAACAATCCCGACAAATTTTCTACCGCAACACTTGAACCGTTCTCGAAATAAATCAAATGTACGATTATGATACCGATTTCATTAGACACACGGCCCGTCATACTGAATGAAATCAGCGCAGTGCGCGCGGCGTATCGGCTCGATTAAATCAATTCAATTTGGCTCGCGATCAATGAAATCGATACGCGTGGAACGTATTAAAAGTAACGTTCGTTCGAAGAGATTGGAAAATATCTGTCGAAAAACGGCATGATTCATAATCCCCGGCTGTTTACAATCCGCCCACCACCGGAGGAGCCGCGATGGCGGATCATGTTTCCCCGGCGAAAATAAGATCACCATCGGGCCAGGAATAGCCGGCTCGTCTCGGCTCATGATATAACGCGGAATTGTTCTCGATCCGGGATCTATTTGCGGCGAGTCCGCGGCACCAAGGCAGCGTATCTACTTGGGTCCGTTTTAAGGGCAGAAACTGGGACTCACCCTTCCTCGGGCCAGCATCTGCTCCGCGGCGTAGACGTATCCACCGCATCGCGGGCAACCCTCTCCTTCCGGCGCCTTCGCGATCACCCGCGGCTCCAATATGGCGTTCGATCCTCGCGAGAGCTCCCTAAAAATGTCGATGTTATAGTTCTTGCACGGAAGACGTTCGTCGTCCAGGCACGGTTCTCGACTCCAACGGCCCTATCGGGAATCGAACGATCCTCGTGTCCCAACAATTTTGTCGAATTTTTTTCATTCCCATTTTTAGCAAACTTTTTTCAACCTCCGATTGTACCAATTTTATTTTCTCACTGACAGTTGTACCAATTTTATTTTTTAACCTTCAGTTGTGCCAATTTTATTTCCTAACTGTCAGTTGTACCAATCTTATTTTCTAACTGCCAGTTGTACCAATTTTATTTTTTAACCTTCAGTTGTTCCAATTTTATTTTTTAACCTCCAATTGTACCAATTTAATTCTTTAACTGCAAGTTGTACGAATTTAAAATGCGAACAAATTAAATGCTTAACGAAATATTATCAATTGGAGGCTTCTCTTGATTTTCCCAACTCGTTCAATGAAAATTGTTCTAAACGATCGAAGAATCAAGCGGCCAGATCCAATTAATTTCAACGAAATTGTATCTTGAATTCTAAAATTGTGTTATGATTTTTCTAGATGCTACATAAATATCATCGTTTCAAGTTCCGAACCAACAACATTTTTTGAAGCTGTAAAGTAAGACGTATTAATGGAGAATCGAAAAAATCATTATTAACGTCGAATTATAAAATTCAACGTCTTTGAATCTCAAAGTTCTGCTCATTTCTCTACATTGTAAAATGAGATAAATATTATATTATAATATAATATTAATATTTGAATATTACTTTATCTTATATATAATAACAATGATATAATAATAATAATAATAATCATTCTTTTAAATATTATACGTGTATAAAATATAAATAAATCGTTTTGGAAATCATTGTTCGAAAAGATCATTCGATAATGAGCCGTTGGATTTGGAGAACAAGCGAACAGTAGAGAAAAAGCAATCACCGCACAAAAGAGAAGGAACGTCGAGCAATGAACGTGGCAACCGTAATGATTCGGTGACGATATTCGTATTGCAATTATTTGTGAAAATTGTTTTCGAAACCGGGCACCCCGGGAAACCAAATCGACGGACTCCACAAAACATCGGAAACAGAATGTGACGAAACTATGTACACTGTAGTACGAAATAACAAGCGAATATTATACAGTGAATTAGTGAAATGTGTGTGTGGGTTTTACATTTTAAGATGTTAAGTATTACGTGCACCAATCAGAGAGTCGTCTACTATTTTTCGATAATATAATTCTCGCCTCCTGCGCCATGGTTGTTAAAATGGCCGCGGAAGTCCGTTCAATCTCATTATATTAGTACTGTTCTCCCGAGAAAATAGTGTTGCGTTCATTGGTACATTTAATTAAAAAAAAATACCAGGCAATAGTTTTTGGATCACTATGACTTAATTAGAATTGAGCTCTACAAAGTTCTGTTCGGTAAAAATATTTATTTAGAAAATAGTTTGAATCATCAGCAATATTTTGTTTCTAAAATATTTTGAACTATTACCAATATTTCGTTTCGAAAATATTTGAAATTATCAGCAATATTTTTCTCACAGAATATTTTAAATCATTAACGATATTTACCTTTTACAATATTTTCAATTATCAACAATACTTATATATAAAATATTTAGCATCACTTTTCTTCTATAATATTTTTAGTTGTTAAAGATATATTTTGTTCCACAGTGTTTCGAATTATTAAGAAATTTTTGCTTCCAAAATATCTAGAATTATTCGTAATATTTTCTTTCCAAAATACCTTGAATTATTAACAATATTTTTCGCCTACAACGTTTCATACTATTAATATTCTCGTTATTAAATATTTCTAATGAACAGCGATGGTTATTCGAAGAATATTTTGTATTATCAAGAATGTTTCCCTTTTGACAGTGTCAAAATATTTATCCATTTCAAGAAATCGCAATCTCGCTGCAACTTAAAGAAAAAGGACCCCAAACTATTCCATGGCGTCATGTAGCATGCATCCGCCATTTTGTGATGATAAAGTCTGTACAATAAACGACGACGCGAAGTGTTTCAAAGAAAGACTGCTGGACAAAACCTAATTTCCTGCATTTTTATCAACTTGTGATTGAATTTTAAAAAATTAATATTTTATAATAATAATAATATTTATAATAATAATAATATTTATAATAATAATTTATAATAATAATAATATTTATAATAATAATTTATAATAATAATAATATTTATAATAATAATTTATAATAATAATAATATTTATAATAATAATTTATAATAATAATAATATTTATAATAATAATTTATAATAATAATAATATTTATAATAATAATTTATAATAATAATAATATTTATAATAATAATTTATAATAATAATAATATTTATAATAATAATTTATAATAATAATAATATTTATAATAATAATTTATAATAATAATAATATTTATAATAATAATTTATAATAATAATAATATTTTATAATAATTTCTTTTCAACATTGTAGCAAAGCAAATAGAATGTAATGTAAAAATGAAAAATTTTCGTTCATTTTTAATGTAATGAACAGACAAATAAAATGGTAATTTTATTTTTTATATTTTTCTAGATGAAAGATTAATTAAGATAGCCGTTGTTTGAAAATTATTTTAGAAACATTAGTTCAGCAATGAAACAAATCACATGTGCACAGTTTTCGAACATTTTTACGAAATATCTATAATTTTACAGAACGTTTCTGATTCTACAAACTGTTTTGTAATTTCTCAAAATGTCTGCAATTTTGAGAATGTATCGACATTAGCATAAAGATTCGAATGCAGAGAACATGACTTCTGATCATTTTCAAAAGATTCGAATACAGTAAATTCTCCCGAATTGTTCCTCAGCTTGTGTAAACAAAAATGGACTGTTCGAGAAGAACAGATACAATTATTCGTGGCTCTTTTTATATAATTGCCGATTATCAACAACTATAAAAACAAGCTCCAAGGTTCAAATAATCGTATCTCCTCTTCCAATTGGAGACAATTGGAGAGAATTTACTGTATTTCGAGTTTTGTCCAGTCGTATCGCGATTTTTCGAGACGCGCGCGTCGGTTCGCGAACGTCATTTCCGAAATCGTCTACCGTGCGAAAAGTGGAGTCGATCGGTTTGCTTCTTTCGAGGGGAGCCTGATGGGAATCCCCATGGTTCGCGGCTCGACGCGACGCAAGGCGGGAAAACCAATAACAACAACAGCAACATCATCATCAATACCAACAACAACAACAACAACAACAGAGAGATAGAGAGAGAGAGAGAGAGAGAGAAAGAAAGAGAGAGAAAGAGAGACAGAAAGAGAGACAGAAAAAAAACGGTGACAAAAATAAAAACGGAAAAAAAAAACGAAATCGGTTACCAAGAGAAATCAGTGACAGAGTGATCAACGCTCGGGTTAGACAGTGTTAGGCACGTGTGTTAGTAATCGGTTAGTATCCCATATTTCCCCGTTTGCAACCACGCAAGTGGCTTCCGCCGAGCCCCGAGAGGAGAGCCAAGAAGCGGATCGTGTGTAACAATAAATAAATAAGTAAACAAATAAATAAAAGTAAATAAACAAGTAACTCAATAAATCAACAAATAGGTAAACAAATAAATAAATAAATGGTAAGAAGATACAATTTACTCAGAGAAAAAGAAAAAGTGAGGACAGAGGTAAAATAAGGGGAACTGGGAGCGCCAGGGGGGAGAGAGAGAAAGAGAGAAAGAGAGAAAGAGATATCGAGAAGAGAGAAAGAAAAAGAGAGAGATAGAGAGAGAGAGAGTCAGAGAGAGAGAGAGAGAGAGAGAGAGAGAGAGAGAGAGAGAGAAAGAGAAAGAAAGTCGTTTTAAATTAGAAGGGTCGTGGGACAGAAAATCGCAGACACAAACTCGGGGGTGGTCTCAGTGCCTCTCGATGGTTTCTCGACTTTTTGTTTCAAATATCGTTCTTTCCGCCCTCGTATATAGAGTCCTCCATCTTGGAAAATTAATCGAATTAATTCGCGAGCTGAAATTCGAAATTTAATAGAACTACTTTTATTGAACAGTTTTAGTAATATTTTGGGGTTGGTTTTAAGGGAAAATCACCGGTCGGACGTTTCTCAGGAGAGAAGTCCCCAGCTGAGCGACGAAGAACATCGTGTGACATGTGAAAGATTTCTAAAACAATTTCTTTGTCGTTTCTAATTTTACTTTTTGTTTAGGAAAACACTTTATTCTAAACGACGCTAATTCAGATGCTTTGCGAACAGATAAATTGTTTGGAATTTATTCTGTATTGGACGAATTGTGCAAGATAAAATGAGAATTTTCATTGTTATTTGAAATGTGTAACATGAAATGAATAATTCATTGCTGTTTCACATAAAAATGTGCAACTCAAGATAAACATTTGATTGTGTTGTTCGATATAAAACTATACTTTAAATGTGCAACATGAAATAAAAATTTGCCTATTATTCAATATAACAATATTTTAGATGTGCGTCATTGACTCGATTGTTATTTCACGATCGAATAACAATCAAATTTTCATCTCATATTGCACACATTGTATTTGCTATAACTATATTCTAACTAACAGTTAAATCTTTATTTTACGTTGCACATTGTATTTAATACAAATACTCCCTAAATAACAATTAAATCTTTATTTTACGTTGCATATTGCATTTAACATAATTCTACTCCAAAAAAAAATCGAAATATCATTTTACATTGGAAGTTGTATCTAATACAACTCTCCTTTAAATAACACTTGAATCTTCATTTTACATTGCACATATAATCGATTACAACTATATATATTTTAAGTAACAAAATTGACCCGAAGTCGACCATCCGAAGTTAGCAACACTTTCACGAGCCACTCTATCAGATTTTCCAAATGGAAATATAGTAAATTCTCTCTAATTGTCGCTCAGTTTGTACAGAAAAATGGATAGTTTGAGAAGAGGAGATACGATTATTCGAGCCTCGCGGCTCATTTTTCTAGTTTCCGATTGTCAACAATTACAGAAACGAGATGTTTTTTCGAGAGATAAATAATCGTATCACCTCTTCCCAAATTGACCATGTTTGCGTAACAATCTCAAGGAAAATTGAGGAGAATTTTCTGCACATCTCTGCACAGAAACTGATTAAAGATTCGATGACGATCGTCTCTGATCCAGACAAATCGACGCGAGACCATAGGTTTTCCAAGGAAGTTTCCCCGCAACTGCCCGTTCCGTCCAAGATCGGAGGACGCACTGCGCGGCGTTGACCATCGAGAAGCGGTTTCGACAACAATAATCGAGAGGTTTTTCCAGCGTATGAAGCTCGTCTACGTATTTATCTCTACTGGCGAAATATTCTGCGTGTGCCGCGTGTGTGGTGTGGTATAGAAAGCCGGGCGTGCGCGCGTTTGATAGAAGCACCCATCGAGTTAACGTTGTTAGCAAGGTTACGGGGTTACGTGTTTCCTCTTTTTTCTTTTTCTTCTTTTTTTTTGTTCTCTTTTATTTGGTTTTTCATCGATGAAAGGTACGAGAGAGGCCGTGCAGGTGTAGTTGCGGATCGATAAATTCGTAGAGATAGATATAGACAGAAAGAGAGAGAGAGAAAGACAGAGAAAGACAGAGAGACAGAGCGAGAGAGAAAGACAGCCTAAAAATAATTCCAAAAAAATCATTAAAACAGAAGAGAAAAAAGTGTAGAAGCCTTGTTTTTTCTTGTGTTTTTTTGTTCATCACGCGGAGTGTGTATGGCAGAGAAGGCAGAGAGAGAGAGAGAGAGAGAGAGAGAGAGAGAGAGAGAGAGACAGAGAGAGAGTGAGAGAGAGAAAATAGAGAGAGAGAGTGTGAGAGTGAGAGAGTGATAAAGAGAGAAAGAGAGAGAGAGTGAGAGAGAGAGAGAGAGAGTGAGAGAGGTGGAATCTGACTCGGTGCTCACCATTTTTCTTTTCAGTTACTCGGTATTTCCCTTTATCACGAGGGGGTGCGCGCAGGCTCGTGATAAAGCGACAACATATATTGTTCAATGGGCCTCCGGTTGGCTCGCACTCGGCGGGGCTGGCGGGGGTGGTAGTGGGGTGTTTTTGACATTTTTTTCTGTTTCGTTTTCGTTTGCTCGTGTACGTTCGTTCGTTTCATTCTGGTAAAAAAAACGGGGGCAACGGGCGGGGACCAGAAAGAGACAGAGAGATAGAAAGAGAGAGAGAGAGAGAGAATGAGTGAGGGAGGTTGGGGGGTTGGTTTCACGGGTTAACCCTCGAACCACGAGGTGGACTCTCACCCCCATACCAACGAGATTTTAAGTGTTCGTCTACGTGCGTTAACTCTGCCGAACAATCCACTGTTTTTACTTTTTAATTAACTATAACTCAATTATCTTTTTCTAGTCGGTCAGATTAATATTTTGACGGCTCTGCTTTTCTTCGTTTGTTTGTGCATTACGTGTTCGTGTACTTCGTTCGGATTATGTATATTGCAGTTGTTGAGATCAACTGAGAAACGCGTGTTACGTTTCTGTGGTTTTCATGAGCTGAGTTTTCATTTTGCCGCGATTCACGATTACGAAAAATAGTTGCGAGAGAAGTATCGGTTTTCGAAGCAATTTTTGGCAGCTAGAGTTTTTGTCAACATTTTTTTTTATTGTATATTTGTACATCTTCCGTGATTGTGCACTTTATTGCAATTGAAAGCATCGCGTTTTCGTTAGCTTAAACTTTTGAATTTCAATTTTCCGCGCTCCAGGATTTTCCAAACGATGCGTCAAAGCAATTCATGGTAATTAGAATTTTCATGAACATTCTACTGTTATTTTTGATTTGTTTATTTACGTTATCTGTGTTTGCATACGTCGTTCCGATTGGAAACATCGTATTTGCTGAAATAAACTGAGAAATATGTGTTCCAACCATGATTTTCGTTAGTTTTAAACATTGTAATTCGAATTTCCCGCGCCAACGACTAGAATTTTTATCAATACACTTCCTCTTATTTTCCTTTTAAGATATTCACGAATATATTTATTATTTATGATACATGTCGTGTATTTATTCGAAACCAGAATTTCTAATCGACATTCATTTTTATTTCACTAGATTCTCATTTATTTATTCACGTTTCGTATGCTCGTATATTTTACTTAAATTGAGAACACCATGTATGCTAAGTTAAATTGGAAAATCTAATTGAGAATTGTTCCGCGAACAATTTCCACGAGTTTCGTACTTTCAAATTCGAATTTTTCCCGCGCCTGATAATTTAAAAAACAACTTAGAACAATAACACTTATTCGATAACATCGATAACAGTAATCAAATTGCTTCGACTGCGGTACAGTAATTTCTCCCGGAAATGCCAAATTTCGGGTTGCTGTGAATTTCCCTGTGCTAGTCCTACGCCTATGTGATTTATTGTTACGTCGATGCTAAAGGTCGTAAGGCAACATAACAGACACAAAATAAAAAAGGTAAGAAAAATTGCGGAGCTACAAAGTACGTGGTAGGTAATAAGTACGCGACTGTCGAATCGTGTCACGTGGCCTCCGAATTGCCTTCGAATCGTGGCAAAAAATTATAAATAAAAAAGTTAAGTCATCGCTTTTATTCTAGCATTACTATGTATTCATATTAATGTACACCGGCATGCAGGTCGCTGCCTTTTTTGCCGACTGCCCCGAGTTTCTATAAAAACGAGCCGCGAGATTCGAAGAATCACGACTTAGTATTCTCAGATCTGCCGGTTTCAATTCCGATCTCCGTGCATTTCCGGGAGAAATTACTGTACATGCTCCAAATCTCAGATTTTCTCGCATCCGTCCTCAAAGAATCTACCCAATCTGCCGAAATTCCGCGAAATTCGAACCTGCCGGAAGCGCGTTTCCAAAACAGGGATTGTTCGTCAGAAAATGAACCGTCCCGATGAAACAACGAGATTGTTAGGGGTTCGCGTGTATAGAGACTCCATCTCGCTGTCAGAGGTTTCAACGGAGTGCCTGGCGCCCATTTTGTTCTTTCTCGTGGTCCTGGAAGTTCTCGTCGACGCCAGGCCGGGTAACATTATCATCACTTCGTACAGACTACAGGTACAAACTAAGGTGGCTGGAAAATCTGTGCATGGGCCAAAAATGTTATCGGCACGCCGATCCGCGTGAAATTCACCGTCGCCGGCTCTCGTATCGCCGCGCGTCCCCGCGAACGAACCCGAACGTCGCGTGACTCGGAATGTCGAGAACATTTTTGCGTCCGTCAACGCGCGCTCGCTTACGTCGTTCGAAAAAGAAAAAAAACAGCAAAAGAAAAAAGAAGACGTAACGAAGACAGAGTGTGAAAAACGGTAGTCGTCAATGAAGAACACCAGAATTCTTCTGTTTTTTTTTTCTTTTTTTGTGAATCTTTTTTTTTCAAATTCCCTTTTTTCGTCTTTTAATGGCACTTATTACAGATGGTACAAATGATTCTATAAACTAGAGCGTAGAGAGATTGTAGTAGTCGCATAAAAGAAACGAGAGAAACGAAGTAAACAATCATTATAATACGTAAAATTAATCGTATGCGTGTTTCGGGGCGGGGGCGGGGGGCGTTTGGTGGCGGTGGTGGGGGGGTAGAGAGGATCGACTAATGTGTGCACGTGGGATGTAATCGTAGCGAACAACGGTCTCGTCCGGCACACACACGGGACACAGTAGATAGAAGAGAATTCAAATCGAAATTAAAAAGTACAGAGAGAGAGAGAGAGAGAGACAAAGTGAACAGAGAAAAGGGCTTGGTGGGGAGGGGGTCGTGGACGTGGTGGGTGGTGGTGCACGAGTTAAACGTGTCAACGAAATAGACAGTCGAGCTAGATTAAAACACAGTTAATTATCATTATTCAGAACGGTGGCTCGTCGTCGTCGTTCTCCTATGTTAGCCATCGGGGTGTCACCGCCATCGTCGCCATCGTGACCACCGTAATCGCTGTCGGACGACGAGATGGGGATTCGGAGAACAAAGGGAGCCGGTGTGACGGTTCAAAGTAACTCGGGTGGGGTACAAGAAAACAATTTCAACTGTTCCGAAATTTACAAACGAGAAAACCGAAGGATCGAGAAAATGAAGGTGGGGCTGGGGGTGAGGGGGTTTGCTGGATTATTAAAAGGGATCGTGACAACGGCGCTGCGTGCACTCGGGGTCCTCGATTAGGCTGCGGCTGCTTCCTCCTCGGTCATCCGGGTTTAGGTTCGCACAACCAAGAAGAGGAGATCATGCTGCCGGTTCCGATGGTCGATCGGTCGGTGGTTTATCGATGGCGTGTATGCTTTGTTTACTTTTTCTTTTTTAACGCGATTGGGTTAGGCGGTTGAAGAGAGAAAGAGAGACAGAGAGAGAAAGAGAAAGAGAGAGACAGACAGAGAGTGAGTAAGAGAGAGAGAGTGAGAGAGAGAAAGATAGATATAGACAGAGGTGTGCATCGCAGACGACGACTCGGAGTTAGAGAATTTTTCTTTTCCTTGTTTTCTTGTTTCTTTAGAGGTTTTTCTTTTTGGATTTCACGGGGCTGGGTTTCCATGGGGGCTAAAGGGGGGTTCGGGCATATCGAAGAGGGAGGGAAGTCGGACGACGGCAGGTGGCACTCACTCGCTACTCTTCAAGTGTTCGCCCTGATCCATGGACAGGCAACCAGCGCCTCCACCGAAGCCGTATCCCTTAGGGCCGAACTTGCGACCGTGGCAGACTTTGCAAAATAGCTCGCCCTCGTGCTCGGTGCAGTTTGTCGAGTCGAGCAATTTGCCGCAGAGACCTGCAACAGACAAACACGTGCTTGTGCTCGACCAACAAAATAGCGGACATTGTCCGTGGAACGTTCGAAACTACCCCTCTTTTAGGTACGAACTATCCCCCCTTCCCTTGTTCGTACGCCCCTGGTTCGATCTCTACTGTCGCTTATAAAGCGTCATTTTTTAACATTAATTCCCTTTCCTTTTTAAAGTGACAATGTTAATTTCGAGGTTCTAGAAGCTCACTAAGCTCCTTCTAAAATATTTCTGCAATTATGAAGTGTCCATTTTAGTTATAAATTATACTCCTCGCTTGCAAACCCTTACTTGTAGATGTACAGCAAAATTTCTTTGATTGTAAGATTTTGTTTCTAGTCATGGAGCTCTGCTTTCACTCGTAGACTGCAGTGTCTGATTGTAATAGTTTGTTTCTCCTCAGAAAAAATTGTGTCCGTTCATTATTATCTGTTTCTAATTAACAGACTTTCATCTGTTCGCGATAGTCTGTTTCTACTTAGAAAAATTTGTATTTGTTGATAATAATCTGTTCCAGCTCAGAACTATTTGCGTCTATCTATGACAGTCTGTTTCTACTTAGAAACATTTCTGCCTTTTCATGATAGTCTGTTTCCATTGAGTAATATTTGTGTCTGTTCATAATTGTCTGTTTCTACTTTGACTTTTTAATTTCTATCTGTTCGTAATAGTCTGTTTCTACTTAGAAATATACGTGCATGTTCACAATAGACTGTTCCTACTTAAAAACGTTTGTGTCTGCCCACAGAAATCTCTTTCTACTTATAAATTTGTATAACAAATTGTATAACATTTATATAACAAATGTCTATTTCTCCTTAAGAACGTTTGAATATGATCCTGGTTAAAAACATTTCAGTACGTTTCTACTAAAAAGAACGTTTTGATTTTTCATAATTTCGAATAAACTTTTAACGAAAAACTGATAGGTCGTTAGCTTAATAAATCGATGAAAATCGGAAAAAGCAAAATGACGTCCAATAAAAATAACCTTAACAACGTAAACATGACTGAAAAATTATATCACGATAATTTCTAAAACTACCTTTCGACTGCAATTGATTATAAAGTTTCCAAAATCCAATCAACAGATTTAAGTGCAGAACAATGAGGGCATCGAAAGTATCGAAAAAACTTGTAGCACTATTCTCAATATATTAAGGCTGCTAAAAGGAGACAAGTACAGTTTCAATTCACTCTTGTTTTCGACGGTTGATGCAGACAATTTTGATTTCGTTTAACAATGCAACCAGTCAGGTCTCTCGATCTGAAAATTCCGAATACCATTGCAATTAGGTGTAATAGCCGTCGAAAAAGCAAAATAGCGCGTGATAACAAATAAATTCAACAGCGTAAAAATTGCTCAATAATTATATCGCGATCATTTCTAAAACTACCCTTCGACTGCAGTCGATTAAAACAGTTTATAAAATCTATTCAAGCATAATTATAACTTGACTCGACGCAGCGTATAAGTGAAATTACAGAACAACAAAGATCAATCTATTGATACTATTAAAAGAATTTTTACCTAATTATTATTTTTCGCAATTAACGGCAACTTCTATTCCGCACGGAGATCCTCCATTTGTTAAAAACCGTTCAATCTCGATGCAACCGAACTCCCAAATACCGTCGCAATCAGGTATAAAAGCGATCGAAAAACTCGAGTGCCGCTATTTTCCAAATAGAACTCCATTATCCGGCTGCCCGAAAATTCCCGCTAAAAGCCCGAAATGCGTTCCGCGGCTTGAGGTCGCGTCGCCGCGAATAGCAATGGCGGGAACGCCGGGGTCGTTCTCTCTCGAACGGTTCGCGTGCGACAAGAATCGCGGGAAAGCGTAACCGAATAAACCGGTATAATGATCGCGCCGGCGAACGTACCGCCGCGGCGGTTCGCGCGGATTATTCCCGTGGCGTCGCCGAAAAGCGAAACGGCCGATGAATATTCGATGGGCCGTTTTCTATTTCTATTTTCGTGGTGCGGCGCGTCGGAATTTTTGCGGGCGGGGGTCGTTGCACCCTAAAACACACTTCGATTGATCCGCTGGCTGGCACACAAAACTAATTAGGGCCGAGACAAACCCATCCGGGACCGGCGTCTCGAACCTATTTACGGCAACGGCTAAATTTAAAAAGACTCCGGACGACGACGATGGGCGCCTTGCGCAACGGGACGCGACACACCGTGCTCCAGAATCCGAGAATCCTGGCCGAAACGTGTCCCGAACGACTGTTACCGTTTCGTATGCGTAGCGAAGGCTGATGACAACAGGTAAGATACCACATCTTTTTTTTTTTTGATAATTATATCGATTGATTAAATGTTGCTGCTTTTTCACGTATTTCCACAAATTTCGAAATTATAAAAATTCTGATTCGTTTAATGGCGTAGCTGTTATCGTTTATTTGTCTTTTGTTGTAAAATTTGTGACGATCTTTTTTGTAATTTTACCGACTTTTTTCGGTAAGTTCTTCCGGTCGGAATATTTTTCGTAGGTAATGTAAATTTTGTAATGCTCAACGAAAACTAATTGGGAATGTGCGATGCTGTGAGGATACTTTTCAACATTTTTTGAACGTTTTGTTGGAATTACGATTGCCAATTAACCGTGTGCTCGCGAAGCGATGTTTATTTTTATGAGATAAAAATCGTTCGATCAACGTTGAACTAATTCTATACAAAATTTGTCTACCGCGTGGATTTATAAAAAATTCTCGGTCTAGTAACATTCGTGTAACGATATCAAGTTCAATGTATACTCACGAAACATGCTTTATTCTCATCAAATAAAGATTATCAGACCAAACCTTTTCAATAGAAAAATCTAGCACGTGAATTTATAAAAAAGATTTAATCTAGTCAAAATCTAGTTAACATCTAGCAACATCTAGTAACATTTAGTAATATTTACGATTACGAAACAGAGCAACATTTCCTTTCGAACGTCTGCGGATCTTTAAATTTGCCTCTAAAAAGAATTAATTAACTATCCTTTATAAAATCGAAATATTTACACTGAAAAGTTCACATAGAATGACTGATTAATTAAATTCCAATATGGCGGCAGAGCTATAAGATATGCAAAGTGGTCCAAGGGTAGAAATTTTTGCAACATCGTGCGATCGATTAACCCTCGGATAATTAACAGACGGTCATAACCTCGTAAAAGGCAGACGTCGGGTCACTTCTGACCCACAGTCAATTTTCTCTGGTACGTATCCGAAAGCGAAGTCTTGCACTCCTTGTTACATCTTTTTTTGGAAAAATGTCAGAATACGAAGAGGTGCAGTTATGTATATTACATGCAAAAATCTGCGACAGTGATACCTATAAAATATTTATCTTGAAGATTTTGTGCGAGATCAACGTGGAACAATTATGAATTCCACGAACATAATAAGTTGCAGAAAAACATCTATGTTAATATTATAACATTACAATATCATATATTATATTGTAATATTATAATATTATGTATTATCTGTGTTAATATTATAATATTATATATTATCTGTGTCAATATTATAATATTATATATTATCTGTGTCAATGTTATAATATTATAGTATTATATATTATCTGTATCAATATTATAATATTATAATATTATATATTATCTGTATTAATGTTATAATATTATAGTATTATATACTATCTGTATCAATATTATAACATTATAATATTATATATTATCTGATTATTAACTAATATAATATTCTTACCAAAAGATTAAAAAAAAACTCAATTTAAATTTCAATTCATCACTATCTTCACGTTATTTTTATTTTCTAAGTTTAATCACTTTTCCTCATTTGATTTTTCAGCTTTTCCTATGATAATTATCAAATTGATTCGGTGAAAATTAGTATATAAAAATGAGAATATAAGAAAGATATAAAGATCGGTAAAAATAGTGTTAAACGATCGATAGATCGAGCAGTCGTGAATATAGGGTGTTCTTTTTTAGACAACTCACCACACTTGAAGCACATCTTGTGCCATTTGAGGCCTCCGGCGACTCGTTCTTCCGCGGCGTACACGGATTTGCCGCATTTGGGACACTTGGGGTGTTCTACTGGTTTGAAGGGCATTTTGTTTATACTGGAAACAGAAAAGAATACCTTTCTTCAATGACGCGATCAACGTCTCTCCATCATCCAGACGAACTTTTCTATTTTCGACAATTTTTCAAGTCAAATTCAATTAAAGCCTGTTTGCGAAACGTTCAAATGAAAAGTTCGTCTTCGTTCTACCGTGTTTCAGAATTATACGCTTTATTTATTTCGAGGGGAATTTCTTCCTTGTTTACAAAATTTGCGCTTTCTTCTTCGTACAATATTTTTCTCAAACGAATTCTGTCGAGAATTCTGGCTAATTTCTATATTTAATACAAAATAATTGTATTAAATGTAACCAAATTGTAAATAAATAAGAAGTAAAAGTTAAATAAATATTACATTCATTAATAATTGTATTTAATTTTAAGTTCTTTGATTTTTATCATGTAAAATGAAGTTTCTTGATTGACATCCTTTTTGCAACATTGTTCAAAATGTCCAAACAAGCGTGAGGACGTTTATTTTTAATGCAGACAACAATTTTTAAATAATTGTGTTACGACACTTCTTTTCAATTAGTAACTAATCCACAACAATCACGATTGAATTACTAATTGATTGATAATAATTTGTATTCAATTAGCAACGAATCGATAACAATTTTGTACAAATAATTTGGATAGTAGAAACTTTGTAGAAACAACTTTGGTGTAACAATTTGCTGTGTAATGATTTATAAAAATAATTTCGGCGTAATAATATAGAATGCAATAATTTTGCAAAACTAATTCGTCGTGTAACAATTTATAAAAATAATTTGTTGTAATAATATATACGATGCAATAGTTTTGTAAAACTAATTTAAAATTTATAATAAGTAATAATCAATTAAAAAAGCTAATTTAAACAACAATTTAGACTGTAACAATTTATAAAAAGAATTTTGATATAATAATTTTGTGAATCTAATTTGACGTGTAACGATTTAGACAGTAACAATTTATAAAAATAATTTGTCATAATAATATATAGAATGTAATAATTCTGCAAAAGTAATTCAACGTGTAACAATTTAAACTGCAATAATTTATAAAAATAATTTTGGCGTAATAATATATAAAACGTAACGATATTATAAAAGTAATTAGACCTGTAACAATGTTAGATGTCGAAATTTTACACGCAATAATCTCGTTAAAATAATTTCAGCTACGGATTTGAACAAACTAATTGATTTCAGGTGCTCGGTTCGGATGATAAACGTTCTCCGTGCTTCTGCAAAATGATCCGCCTCGGGAAAACGAATAAGAAGTTGATGCGATTCGTTTTGACATTTGGAAAAATCGGTTCTAAATTGAACGAAAAGCGAACCGAGCCGCAACAGGCGATCTGTCAGAAATAAGCGAGCTGGAACGGCTCGCTTACTTAACCAGTGCCTGACTAAAACATGAAGAATTCGTGGCTTCCCTCTCGCCGTCGACAAACGCGCGACTATTTTTGCAGTCAGCCATCGCGGGACGCGCGAAAATCGCGAAGATTTACGAGCCTAAGAGATCTCGGAAGCAAGATGCTTCTACACAGTTATATTCGACGTTTCCTCGCGAACCGCATCTCCCTACGAGATTCATTGCATTTACAGCGGCCAAAAAGAAATCACGCGGCCAATGTTTCCTCCAAATTATTTTCTTTAGAAGCAATTAGCAGAAAATATTTTCTAGTTGAGCACCGATTGCAAAGATATTATATTTTTTAACGTTTCTTATCAATTTTTACTAGGAAAATTTTCTGTTTAATATTCTTGAATAGTGTGAACATTTGCAGAGTTCAGATCAATACTTAGAAAATTAAACAAAGAATTTACGATATTCGTAAATGTTTCAAAATTTCTATAAACACATAATTTTGCAGAACGTTCGTTAACAAACGTTTCAATACTGTAAGAATTTACCGTTTAATGTTCTCCAATATCGCAAAAATTTTGAGCACTTGGAAGCATTCAGAAATGTCGATATGAAATATTTAAAAATATTGCACAAAATATTGTAAAATGCCCTTAAAAAGAATGGTCACGCGCTGTAAACATTTGCTGCTTAATTGAAGAGACGTTTGGGAATGTGAGTTTTATTGGATTAACAAATGTATCGAATACTTGTACAAGAATATTTTTGAATAGTATAAAAATTTAATGTAATAATATGATATCCTTGTGAATGTTGTGACAATTTCCAGAATTTTAAGATATTGTAGAATTATAGAGCTAATAGAAGTACAGAAGTAACGGGGACACGTGTGTCGATTACTTAAAAACATATGGCAAGGTTTGTTTTCACTAGATATTTACTTTTTCGCCCGATTTGCAAACGGAATATAAAATCGACTTTAAATACACACTGTTGTTAAAACGAAAATATATTCATAAATGTTTAGGTAAAGATAAAACAATTAATTGGAAAATTGACTAGAGCAAGTGGTAGACACGTGATCAAGAAAAATTTGCAATTCACACTTTTAAGTCAATTTTATTGGATCGATTGTAACGGTGAATAAACTCGGAAACGTTCAATTATTTGATAAAATTGTAATTTTTTACTGGAATTGCATTATTTCATCCAGAATTGCAATTTTAGAATTATAGTTTTCTATAGAATAATAATTTTGTTTTAGAACAGCATTATTTTGTCCAGAACTGCTATTTACTTTGAAATTGAAATTTTCCCTCAATTATTAATTATTTTTACAATTGCAATTTTTTCTTAGAATTGTAATTTTCCTTATGATTGCAATTTTTTCTTATAATTGTAATTTTTCTTATAATTGCAATTTTTTCATAAAATTGCAATTTTCCTCAATGTTGTAATTTTCCTTGGAATTATAATTTTTCTTAGATTTGCGCTTAGAATTGCAATTTTCCTTAGGATTGAAATTTTCCTTAGAATTGTAATTTTTCTCAGAATCGCAAATTTCCTTAGAATTGTAATTTTTCACACAATTATAATTTTATTCTAGAACAGCATTATCTCGTCCAGAATTGCATTTTTCACTAGACTCGCAATTTTTCCTCTATTTACATCGGCCATTATATTCGTCGTGGAAGAAAATACGCGGCCAATTCAATTAAACGTCGTCATTCATGCTCATCCCGGAAACTCATAATTATAGACGAATAATATAACCATGGAGGACCTAACGGTGCTGCCGCGAGCCCTATGAAGCTTTCAAACCTCTCGTTAATAATGATCAGCCTGGAATATATTAATATCATTCGCGATAGTCGCGGAGTATTCCGAATCGCGTCCTGTGAAAATTCAATTTCCCCTCGTGAATGTTGCACGGCAGGAAATTTTAGACCATCCGGACACCTTGCCCCGATGAATGAGTTCACCCGGTAATGGAAACGCGCCAAAATTCGCCTTCGTATAAAATAGTAAAAATGGCCGACGACTCGGGTCGCATGATTTTTTAAATGAATCCGGTCTTTCTCTCCTGCAATTGTCGAATTTCCAAAATTATTTGGTAAACCTTAATTTTTAAAATAGATTACAAAATGCCCGACGAGATTGCTGCGTTACAAGCGTCTCTTCAAATATTATTTAAACAAGTTTAAATTGTTATAGTATTGCAAACAAATGTATTGTCGCATTGAGAAGAGTCTACAGAATTATTCTATGTAAGAATCGTTCGCGTAACTGTTACGGTTAACTCAGGAAAAATTCTCAAAGTTGAAAAATTCGATTCTTCTTCTCAAATCTCGTTTTCCCTTACTCTTCACTATTCAATGAAATCTAAACAATTTTACGTGTTTCTAATGTTGTACAAAAATATACCATTCTATTCGGGAGAGTTTACAGAATAATTCTAGCTATAAATCATTCGCATAAGTGTTACAGTTATCTCAGGACAAATTCTCAAAGTTGAAAATTCGATTTCTATTTTGAAACCTCGGTTTTCAGTCTTTCTTTTTAATTTAAACAAGTTTAAAAAAGAACACCGTCGTATTCGGGGCAGTCTGCAGAATTGTTCTAGTTAAAAATCGATCGTATAATTTTTACAGTTAATGGGAAAGGCGCTTCGGGAATGCAATCGATCGGAATAGGGGAAGTTCGAGGCAAAAGCCCGCGGAAACTTCGAAGGAAAGTTGAAGACGGAGTCGCGTGACTGTCGGCCGACGTGTATAGATGGCAAGAGGGCTTCGTAGAGGCGCTAGAGATACCAGAAGAGAGTAGCAAGAGAGACGGAAGGATTCTATATCGGTGCGGACGCGAGCCGGACGCGAGGCCGTATTAGGGAAGGTGCTAGATTCTCCACAACGCGGTCGCCATTACCCCTACCGACACCAGCAATCATCGCTTACTTTCATCCAAAATCAAAGTGGATCCACAATTATTCCCCATCTGAACGTCCCGCCCCTCTTCTCAATCAATTTCAATCGAAAACCCTCTCTTCAATTTTTATTGTGGAAATGAAACAAATACGGCCGATTGATATTTAATCTGTAAAAATGGGAAACCAAAGTGAAAGAAAATCTACGATCATTATTCGGAGCTCTTCAGGGCTCGTATGTTAAGGTGTGCATGGGAAAATTCAAGTTGGACGAGTGTAACTTCTGATTAAACGTCATCAAGCGTGATTAAACACTCGAAAGTTTACGACGTCGAAACGAGAACAATGGTATTCCATTGGAGAACTATCGGGAAGGTGTTTCGCTAATTCTATTTTAGTTGTACGTTTAGAATTGAAGGAAGTGTGCGTAGACTGTCTACCATTGGCCAACTTGTAACAAGGACTCTATTTGAAATTGAAGACTGAAATGAAGACTAAAAAAAAAATAAAAATTCAGAGGGGGTCGTGAATAATTCGAAGTATGTGAGAGATGATCTATAGAGGACATTCATTGAGAGTACTAACAAGTGAAAAATTAATTAAACGTGTTAGTGAGTAGATCATTAATCGAGAATACTGATAAATAAAAAATAAATAAGGAG